CCTTTGGATTAGCTCTGCTTCAGACCCCATGTGATAAGGTCCTATGAAATCTATGGGCATAAATAGAGACAATGGTCAGGGAGAGATTAATTTAAACAATTTGCTATGTTCATGAAAATGTCTTTATAGCAATAGCAAGTACATTTCTGTACTACTTATCAGTGAATTAGCACTTTCTAAGCAGTTTACAATGTGTAAGCTAATTGCCTCCAACAAGCTGGGTACTTATTTTACTGGTACCTATGAAAGGATTGAAGGATGAGTTGACCTTGGAGCCCTCCAGCACTGAACTTACAACGTTGTGGCTGCAGGACCGGTATATTTAACCACTGCAGCACCAGGGCTCCTTTGACATCCAGAGCATCACAATAGTTTCTTAACTGAAGGACTCTGCAAACAACCCCTAACAAAGCTACAAGGTCACATACCCTTTCCCTCTTTAAATTATTTAAAAAGATAGAATGGTATGAATCCCAATATAGTTTTAGTCACTCAGAACTGTGCATTAATCAGATTCAGTTTACTGATCTGCCAGTATGCACCAAGAATGACATGACACATTTTTTAAGTCTGTGGTTTATCTCATAAACTTGACACATGTATCTGAAGCAGACCAATGGGGCTTTTGCCTTCAGTCAGTTCTAAAACTTGACTGTTGATAGGATTGCTGTGTCTGATTACTGTGGCTCTTTTTTATCAAGCTCACTGGTCTCTTCCTCCTTCCTGGTTTCTGTCCCATCTTCTTTCCCAGGTTCCTTTCCTTCTTCCTTTTCTTCTTCATTTCCTTCTTTCAGTTCTTCTTTTGAGCTTCCCACTTCTTTTCGTGTTTTGTAGCCTCTGAAAGTGGCCTGGATTTTTATAGCAGCTTGTTCTTCTGTTAAATTAATACCACTTCCCTTAATTTCCGATTTCTTGACTGCCTCCTCCTTTACAATTAAAAAACAAAGTTATAAATCTAAATCTTGTATTTCACCAACTAACAGTACTGAGGTGTGTGTGTACAATAAATACTGGGTTTCAATAAATGTAATGCACATCTTCATTACTCAAAGGCATTTTGGAAGTTGGTTTATTATGTCTAGTGTGGGTGGAAACACAAGTTGCTTTTTGTTTTGCCATTTTTAAAAATACATATTTTCTACAAGAAACCAGTGGGGCTATTTTAATACTAGATCTTGTGGATGTCACTTGGACAGCTTTCCATCATCTTTCAAAAGGAAGTTTTGCCTCCTAAGAACTTTAAAATTTAGCACTTAAATAGTACCAACTGTTCATCTTGGGGATACAAGAACAAAAATCTTTTACTAGGGAAAAGAAGAATGCAAATAATAAATACATTTTCCTAATCTTTGTCTATTACAGACAAAGGTGTCTGTACTACTCTTCAAAAATTAAGCTAAGGGTAATCAGCTTTCAGTCCCAGTGACTTAAATGTGTGAATGAAACTGTTGCCTATGATTGCAGTCTTAATCACACTTAGATGGAAGTCACCCCACTGAACATAATGGGAATTTATTTCTGAATAAAACATACAAGATTGTGCTGTTAGTATTTTTCACTGAACGCAACAGAACTTATGCACTTTGCTTGGATTGTGTCTATTCCCCCACCTCCAAAAAGAGATTGATCTTTGTTGGAAAACCTATGTGGGAAAGTACGAAGCCGTTCTCAGCTGTTTGCTGCCTGTTATTAAATCTAAGGAGATTATTGCATGCACCTTATCATGTCTTTTTCTCAATAGGATAGATGTGCGTTTGGCAGTGGCTGTTATTTCACATGAAATGGCTTTAGAGATGGGTGAATTTTCCTCACTGACCAAATTCCTCTCTTACACATCTGTTAGAGTCAAGGGGATCAGCAATCAGACATTCAAACTAAAATTCAACCTAGGTAAGAATGGACTCCATCATTC